TTTTTTTTTTTTTTTTTTTTTTTTCTTTTTTTTTTGTATGAGGGATCGAACTCAGGACCTTGCACTTGTGAGGCAGGCGGTGGCACCACTGAGCTACATTCCCAGCCCCTAGACCATGATTTCTAATCCAAGCCTTACGGGTTTACAACCCTTCCTTTTTGTCACTTTAAGATTCCTTTATCAGGCATGTATGTTTAATACCCAAGGTGACTTTTATTTATTGGTTCCTGCAAGAGACCTTTAATACAAGGAAGCTTCAATGCCTCTTGGTGTTCATTTTCCCTGACTCCCCAGTGTTAGACGGTCCAGCCTCCTCTGATGATTCGTCTCCCTGTAGGAGAGAGGACAGGCATGTTTCTGAGTGACACTCTCTCCCCTGCCACCTGACTAGGACTAGTACAGCAGTCTGTGGGCACCGGTTCAGTGACATTCCCTCCTGTGTTGTTTCCACCCTGCGATTCAATGGGACAAATAGCTTCCCTCAGCATCCCGAAGGAAGTGCTTGCTAGAGGCAGAGATCACACCTAATGCTGCTGCTAAGTAACCTGTGCAGAGCACAGTGACAAGGCACTCTCCCTGGTCTCCACAGCACTGTGAAGCAAGTTTATGAGGCAGGAATCTTTGGGTTGCAAGTTGCAGAAACCCAACCCAAACTGCCTTGAGCAAAAACAAATGAATTGCTCCAAACAATGAGGAAGTACAGGGGCAGATGTGGCTTCCTTGGTTGCAGCAGGCACCCAGAGTGTCCTCAGGGTGACTCTTGCTGTGTTTCCTGTGTTTTGGTTTCATAGCTTCTTCAAAGGTGGCCACCAGATGCTCTAATCTTACCTTCTCTCAGTCTTGCCAACATTGCTGTATTCCACGGTGGTCATTTCTCCTAAAGTTCTTGTGAGTGTTTTCAGGGCCCCAAACTTCCAGACTGAGACATGGGCCAGGCAAGTCTGAGTGCATGCGGCCAACCACACCTCCATTCCTCACATACACTCTTCTCTCCTGCTGGACCACCAGCCCATCCTCATATGATATGTCTCTTGCAGCAGACAAAGCTGTCTCCATGCAGCAGGGACTGTGCTACCGGTCACTGGGGCCTGGCACCTGTACCCTGCCTTTGGCCCAGAAGATCACCAAGCAGATATGTTGCTGCAGCCGTGTGGGCAAAGCATGGGGCAGCAAGTGTGAAAAATGCCCCCTGCCTGGCACAGGTAACCCCCCATCCCCATCCCAGCTCTGACCATTAACGGTCTACCTCAAAGCCAGTGGCCATTTTCCCTAGCCTGATGGTTCCCCTTAAGCCAAAGACTCTGGTCTTCCCTCTCTGCTCAAGTACTTATCTCAACCTAGGGCTCACTCCTTCATTGTTGCTGTAATTGTCTTGTCCGCCCCAAGGGGGGAAAAGGGGACCCTGGTTTCCTGCAGGAATGGCGTCACTCAGCTTGTCCTCTGGCTGTTGGATTTACAGAGGCCTTCAGGGAGATCTGCCCTGCTGGCCATGGCTATACCTACTCGAGCTCAGACATCCGCCTGTCCATGAGGAAAGCTGAAGAGGAGGAATTGGCCAGGCCCTGGAGGGAGCAGGCGCAAAAGAGCAGCGCAGTTCTGCCTGGGCTGGAAGAGAGGCAGCCACTCCAGGAAGCCAACACCTGGCTGGAGGCTGAGACCATCCCTGACAAGGGTATCCAGGCTTGGGGAGAAACCTGAGGGGTTCCTCTTTCCTCTGAGATCAGCGAGCATGAGGAGTTTGGTCATAGGATCCCATCTCTGGGGTGTCAGGAAGGGGAGATGGAGCAGCAGCTGGCCTGGCACAACAGCAGGGCCTCGAGAGGTACTCATGTCCAGGGCTTGTGGAATTGGGAGAAGTCGGCAGCAGCCTCACCCCAGCTGGACAGGCCTTCCGGGGTAGTGCTCACTGCAAGGCCTGAAGAGCTGTTAGGTGGATCCTGGAGAGTCTATAGGCTTCTGGTCCCCTGTCCTTGCTTTCGGTGTCAGTGCAAGGAGGTGGGTTGCAGAACCGAAGGGGCAGACTGACCCAGAGCAACAGGACTCCTGTCACTGGAGCCTAGAAGAAGCAGGAAGAGGCTTCCTTCACCAAGTGAGGGGCTGGGGGCGGGGGGTAGGTAAGATGAGCAGACCTCTCTCTGTTCACTGTTTACCCTGCTGGGGACAGCAGACTACGAGGCAGCCAGGCCACTGGTGGAGGGGCGTGGGCCACTCTTCACCAGGTTCATGCTCTCTCCTTTCCCTTCCTAGGTGAGTCTCGGGCTGGCCAGGTAAGTGGGTCCTTCCACCAAGGAGATGGGCAAGGGTATTGGATAGCGGGACCTGGAAGCCTCTGGGGCCCCAGGGCAGTGTCCCATGATGGAGGAGAGGGAGAAGGATTGAGCATCTGTCAGATTTTACTTGGAGAGATGACGATGGGGGGGAAGGGTTGAAGACCCCATTTGACCCCGAAAGACGTAAGAACATCAGCAGCCACTATGCAACCAGCCTCTCATCTAGGACAGTCCAGGCCCTTAAAAAAGGACAGAAGAACTGTCCTGGCTGTCAAGCTTTGGGTGCTGCACCTGAAGCCTAGAATCAGTTCCAGCTCATTCTGGACCCGGCGCTTTCTGAGCCAATTTAGCTTAGCCCTCAGTCTCCTCTGTGAGTTGCTCATGGAGAAGTAGAGGCACAGCTGTGAATAGCCTCAGACCACTCTTCATGGAGGACTCCCTTCTCTGGGCCCAGGACTCCTCTGTACACTCAACACTGGTTTCTACCAAGAATCCACCCCAAAAGCATGGATCTGCTTCATCTTCTATCAGTACCCCAACCCCTACCCATCCCCTACCCTTCCAACCTGCAAATCTCACTTCCCAAATACTATGTCTCAATGGCCTTGTGGCCCCACCCCACCCCCAGCACCACATGCTGTCCTCCCAGACTGAAAGTTTCATCCTGGGTCCTCCCGGCCCCAGTTACACCCTGGTACCTCTTCATCCTCTATTCTCTCCTCTGCTTCCCTGCTATTTACTTGCCTCTGTCCACAGTGGTGTTGAGGGACACCAGGTATGGTCCCGAGTCCTGGCTTCGCCACATTGGCCCTGGAGCCCTGGATGCTCTAGTTAAGTTCTGGACTGTCTGTCGCTCTGGCAGCAGCATGGGGGTCACAGCCTTGATACTGTGCTCCTGATGTGCACCATGTGCAGACACTCAGCTGGCACAGAACACTGCTCGGCTCCTCTAATTATTACAGGCTACCGTCATAAGGTAGTTGATCAGTTCATTAAGACTATGGATATGAGGTGCCTAGCAGAATGCCTAGTGCCTATTATGAACTTATCCATTCTTGGAATGAATGAAAAGTGAATGAGAAAGTTGAATAGAAAGGCTGAAGGTAAGCGGAGTGTTGGGAAAGGAAGGATGTCATGATGGTGACAAAAGAGTCCAAAGTGACCTTCTCTGATTTCTGTGCAGGTCACAACCAGTGTCACCCATCCACCTGCCTGGGTCCCAGGTGAGTCCCTCTCCTACCAGCTGTCAGGGAAATGAGATGGGAGGGAGCAGGAGCCTTTAGTCTAGGGGTGGAGTTACTGTCCATGAGCTGGTCCCTGGAGTCAATCAGAAGTGGTATGTAAACACTTGGGGAATCCTGCACACCCCAGGGACTGTGAAGTCAGTGAGAGACCCATGACACCTGGCAAATATCTTCCCAACCACCAAACTGAGTCTCACAGTGCCACTCAGCATGTGAATCAGGGGGAAAAAAAGAGGCACTGGTTGGAGCAGGGAGTTGGCTGGTTCCCCAGAGCCTTCTCTCCCAGGGCCCTCACGTCCCCTCTGAAATTCTGAGCTTGCTTCTCCATGGAGTTGGGCTTAAAAACCAAGAGGCTGACTTGCTTCCTCTGCCCATAGACTAGACACTGACCCTTGTCCTGTAGTCTCCTGAAGCAATAAGATGTTGGTATTTGTGACAGAGTTCCTCCATAAACTATAAGACACTGTATAAGCAGAGAAGAAGGCTGAAGTGGTACTCAGGAAACCTGGACTTCAGTTCTGCCTCCAACTAGATGGCTGGACTTGGACAAGTGCTATGTCTAATTCTCCTCCCCTGTGAAGTAGAGGCTGAGACTAAGTTTGCTGTAGAACTCTGGCTTTGTATGGGGCCAGGTCAAGTTCCAGGAGGCTAGGAGGCACAAAGGGTGACTTGCTCCACCCCTGATTCTTGGGAGTCTGAGCAGTGGAAAGGACAGGCCATTGCCAGCCTCCAGGAGGCAGGCCCTGGTTCCACCTGCTCCCCTCTGCCCTCTGCAGTGGATGCCATCGGAAGACCAACACTACCACGGCCTGAACAGGGGATTCCAGAGACCCAGGAAGAAGAGCATGTGGCCCCTTCCGCTGATGGGCTGGTGACCTCAGCTCCTCCAGGTAGCTGCAGCCAGCCTTTGGAGGCTCTCTGCCACGATCCCTGTGACATGTCGCTGTCCAGAGCCAAAACCAGGGCTGGGGCATGAGTGGAATCCCTTCCTTGCCTCTCCAACCAGAGGAACAAACTCCAGTGAACTCCGTCCAAGGAGGGGGCCTCCCAGGAGAATCCCAAGGAAGGATTGCGTATGGAGCAGGAGCTTAGCTTTGTTTTACAGGCTGTTTGCCCTGACTCAGTGAGAGCCCTGGCAGCGGCAGCCACCTGTCCAAAGGAGGGTTGTTTTAGGAAGGAACACAGCTCTTACCCAAGGTTTTTAAGGCTGGAGAGCCTGCATTTTACTCCCTCTGCTCAGCTATAATGATGAGGGTGGTGTGGGGAGATCCCTGGCAAATCCACCTTGCTCTGGAATGTGCCCTCCTCAAAGCTCATTGTCCGGGCGCTCGATTCAGAAGGAGAAAGGCCGGTGTTGTGGCAGTTGCTCCTATGCATGAGTGTGCCCTTCTGCCTGCCCTCTGCAGGAGTTGGGTGTGCTCTTAGATAACTGACTGAAGTCCTAAGATTCAGGTCACTTTAAGTAGGAGGCAAGAGTGAGGGGGAGCTCTGGATTTGCTCCAGCAAAGAGAGCTCTAGGGCCAGGGATTTAGCTCAGTGGTTCTAGCACCTGCCTTGCAAGCACAATGACCTGAGTTAGATCCCCGGTACCAAAAA